ATTAATTACAATAAAGAATGAGTTGTAAAAAATCCATTTATGGAAAAGAACTAGAAAAAAAAACCAGTATAGAAAGCAAACAATATTCTCGTTTAGGAGCGATGTATAATTAGTCATTTCCTTGCCCTATAGTCATTATTCACAAGTTTATATTAATGCCATAGTCATCTAAATTGTATTTGCGTGTTACATTTAAAAAAGAAAATGGTACAAATGGTACAATAGATGTTTTCTTTTTATGAAATGAAAAACAAAAATATTTATATTTCAATAAAAATTAATTAATAACAATACAAATAATTATTTTATTTAAATAAAAATTCATTTTTCAAATATATGTTAATTAATATTATAAAATAACTTCTAAAATATATTATGCCATAAAACCGTTAAAAACGATATATAATTTATTCTCGAATTCAGAATAAAATTTTTTAGTTGTAATGTTATATGCTATATAATAAAAAAAACAATTGAAGAATTATACAAGACACATATACTTATATTAAAATTTATATATATTTTGGCAAATAAATAATGCTCTTTTTTTAAAGTTGATTATTGATCATTCTGATCAAGGAAGTTTTAAAAAAATATTTTTTTCAAAAATATAGAATTGCTATATTATTTTTTTATGTGACATGCTATAGATATCTTTCATACTACTAAAAAATATAGAATTGCAAGAATATAATTACAAAAATTGACTTAAGACATAATCATTCTTTCTTTGAACAAACATAATAATGCTCGCTTAGTTTTTATTGTAAGTTTATATATATATATATTTTGATTCTTTTTTTTATTAATTTTTTTAAATAATAATAAATTATTACATAATAATGAGATTATCAAAATAATATTTATTATTCGATCAAAAATTTAATATTTACGTTGAAAAATTTATTTTTTCTTTATTCTGATTTTGAGATTATATTGCAACACGGTAGTACTTACGTAAGATTTAATTGTAGCATAATCATGATAACTTCATCTTTTTCTAGATTTTCCACTCGTATACATTACGTGCATGATGAATATTTATAGTCAATCTTTATATAGAATGATATTGAAATAAATTAAGTCTGCATTAAGAATATTATTATTTTATTCATGCATGTATTAAAATATGTATTTCTGTTTGGATCAAAATCAATTGCAAATAATTTTACAAACTATATAGGATAAATCTTATTAAAAATATATATCCTTAATTTTAGAAAAAAATAAGGGTAATGTTTTTTTAAATAATCCGAAAAATTAGTAAGGACGCTTGCACTGAATGCAAAAGATCTGGATTCTATATCCGACCGAGATAATATTTTTCGCAATAAGATCATTTTAATATATTATTTAACGTTATTAAGATCTTTCTAAGATATCTATAAGCATCAAATTATAAATTGCTAATCAATTTAATTTATGATTACCAATAGTTCAATAGGATTTGTGTTTCAAACCCAAAAAATTAATTCGGTGCTCAAATTTAAATGACTACATTGGTAGTACATACAGTATATATAAATTTACATGGAATATTTAAGCACTTAAGATTCAGTTTTACTGTTAAAGGTATTTATTTTCCTTACATAGTTGTATTCACAATCCTAAAGACATTCTTTATTTAATACTAAAAATGTTTCTATTTAAATAAAAATTTATTCGATATACACAAGTAAAGAAATACAAAGAATTTTTCTAATGAAAAAAACTTACTTCATAGTTAAACGTTGTATTAACATTTAATTATTTCATAGATATCTAGTTTTGTAAAAAAAAATTCTCTTCGAGAAATATCTCGCGATATCAGCGATAAAATGTAAATACAAAGTTAAGGATGGCAATTAAATTCTTCCTTCTTCTAAAAAAAAGCAAATTGTATTTTTTTGTTGCGATTTTATCGCAACATTTTTTTTATCGCTTTATTTCAATTCAAATTTTCCTCCTAATTTTACATTATTAATTACAGACAGACAACAAAAAATCTTATTACAGAAGTGATTTATTACTATATCTTATTATTCAAGTGATTTATTACTATAAACTTACAGTGTTATTTACATAACAACAAAAGTATTATTTATTATATAAACACTTAATTATATTTATACAAGTAATAAATATTCTCCAATAAAAAGAATTATCATTACAGAGAATCGATATTACATACGCAGAATTTAAAAAAAGTTTTAGAACGTGACAATTTAAATTATGTACATATCTACATAAAATTAGGAAAGATCGAAGCCAATTGTCATTGTTTTTGATTATTAATTTTTTTAAAAAAGTGGATACCTGATTTATATACGTTAAATATTATATATGTTATAATATATATGTTATTATATATGTTATAATATACCTACATCTTTTGGGTATTAAAAAAATATTACTTTTGAAATCATCAACAAATACAAATTAGTTATTCAATTCTAATGATACTACGAAAATGTGACAATTAGTGTTTTGGATTGCTTGTCATGTTCTAGGATCGACAGTAACATCTTTATTGCAATTTTTATTTTAATGTTACTTCTATATAGTAATAGTATTAGTACAAATAAAATAGTTATTTTAATCATAAAAAAAATACGTAATTTATTTTTATACTATAGTTTCTAAATGAAAAATAAAAAAATATATATTTATACGAAGCATTATATAATATATTAAATATATTATATCTCATATCTCAGTAGGAAGGTCGGTTCTAATTTACTATGTATTAGTGCGTATACATATGTGCGATGTGTAGAGAAGAACAAGGGAGGGGAAATGAAATGATAGACTCATTGTCGGATTCGTATTTTATAATTTGTATTTACATTGAAAATGACCCGATTACGATCGTTTGTAGTAGATTGCATAATTGTTATTAGTATGTTAATTATTTAATCTTTGAACAGTATCATTAAAAAAATATACCAATGGTAACGTCGGTATGATAAACCGCTGTCATGTTTTTATTAATTTTATAAATTCTTTATAATGAAGAATGTTTGCTCAGTATCCATAGTAGGTACGTACATTCATACACACATACGCTCATACGTACATATGTCATACATGTTATATGTATGTATGTACGTATGAATGTGTGTGCGTATTTACATATGAACGTATAAATATATGTACATACATTCTTCATTATTAAAAAATTTATAAAATTAGTAGAAACATGACAGCGATCTGTTAGATCGACATTATCATTAATGTATTTTTTCAATAATAACTATTAAAGGTTAAATAACATATTAATAACCAGGAAATGAAAAGTTACTTTTTAAAAGTAACAAGTTACAGTTACTAGTTATCGATTTTTAAAAGTGACTTATTACAGTTACCGTTACTTAAGAAAGTAACTCTCTGATGCTTTTTTAAAATCGATATCATCAATCACAGCAGACAGGTACGTTTCTAGTCTTGAGCGCTATGAATAGCATGTGTCCAATCGAACCGTGTCCAAGCGTGTGCAAAGTAACGATAAAAATAACTAAAAGAAGTTATCGTTATAAAAAAAATGTAACCGTTGCAGTTATAAAAAAAAGAGTAAGTTATCAGTAAAGTTACCCAAAAAGTAATTTTTAATTGTAATTTCGTTATAAGTAATAAGTTACTTCCATTCTCTGCTAATAATAATTGTGCAATCTATTATAAACATTTTAATCGTAATCGGATTCACTTTCAATGTAAATACAAGCAAATTATAAGATACAATTCCGAAAATAATTATATACCATTTTGTTTATTTAATCCCTGCAATTATTTCTTCTGCTGCGGCTTCCCTTCCCTTGTCCCTTTCACACCCATATACGTACACACGCATATGCGCACTAACACATAGTGAAGAACATAGAACCGGCCTTACTCATCTCGTTTATCACCTGACTCCATTAGATGACAGTCAATTTTAATATGTTTAGATCGATATACATACTTTAGAGAATATATTTACAGATATATTTATTATTTCAAATTTCACATTTTGGTCTCTCTACTCCACATAATATTTTTAGTAAAAGATATTGCATTCATAATCTTTGTCAGGATAATGATATTAATTATAGCAGAAATTGTCTGAGACATGAGTATTTTTTATGAATACAAGGATATCTCAATTAATAACGCTAAAGACTTGTTAGACAATAAAATTTGTAATAAGAAAAATATATTCATCAGTTTTAAAAGTCGTAAATAATGTACATATATTATACAATGCTTTTGATGTAAACTATTTTACATAATAAATTCATATTGTATCAGCAATTACAGTTACAAAAAAAGATTTTTCTGTTATTTGCTGATTGAGCATTATAAACATTTTGACAATCAACCTGTACGACAAGGCCTTGGTCTCCCCTATATAAGAATTACTTATGTACATGTATATAAAAGTAATATTTTAATCGTTAGGTACCAACAAACGATATTTTCTTCTTTATCTTTTTTCCAACAAAGGATATTTCTCGCTGTATGTGTTTCGAACTTAAAGTTACCATATTTAACTAGAAATTATATTTCAAAATTATCTGCAATTGATTAAAGTAATAAAATTGCCACAAACATATTCTTTCCAACTTCATATATTTTTATATGAAATTTAATAATATTATTTGGCATTATTCAGTTTTACTATGTTAAAAGATAAATTCAACTCATTAATATATCAAAATACAAAATCAATTTAAAATGTCTAAGAATCGGTTGTTCGGATAAATTATGTGGTTATTTTTATCTACTAAATAAACAAAAAAATAAAAGAGTAATAGCAAAAGACAGTAACAGAGTAAGACAGTGAGTTCAAGTTTACTAAAACCTGGAACAATCGAAAGTTTGATAATATTGATTTTGATTTATTTAAATATTGTAAAAATCATGACTCTGAATAATCATGAAAAGATTTTAATCTCTAATTATTATTTAATTAAGAATTATTAACAAACAAAGTAGAATATACAATCAAGTACGATAACGTAATGATTCCCAAAATTCCAGACAATTCATGTTTCTTCTGGAAATATTTGCTCATAATTGGAACGGGCTATATTGTTAAAAATTGATATTGTTATTCTAGAAGTTCTCTCTTCCATTGCTGATTTAATAGCATAAATAATTTCTTCTTGATTATTGTATATGACATCGTTCAAAATTGAATGCAATTGAGCTAATTCTTTGCTGTCGTCAAGGAACTTATATTTAAATGATTTTATCTCGAAAACGTTGTTTACTTTCGAAGCAAATATATGTTTCTTGCCATTTTTAGTTATCGTTTTTAAATCCATGCCTGCCTTCAGTCTTACGTTTTCTGCAAAAAAGATTATAATAATTTTAATAATGTAAAATAATACTTATTTAGATTTTTGGTCCTAAAAAAAGTTGCCTTCTCTCCAAATTTTCTTTTTATTCTAAAGTAAGATGGATTATTTTACCTATAACAGTCTCAACTGAACCCTTATTCGCAATACGCGTCAGCAAACGTATATCAAAATCATACGTAGCGTTGAAGTACAGCTGCGGAAGTAAGATGTCAACATCGAAGTGGAGTCTTTCAGGGTTTGTTTGAACGGAATTTACAACAAGATCACAAAATCCATATAAATTTAGATCTTTGACATAAAGTTTAACATCATTTGTGTCAAAAATAACTATTTTATCAAATATCAGTGGTTCATTTGGTGGAATGTTAAACTCTGAAAATCCTGTGCAAAGCTTATCTTTCACATTTTCTATGTTTTCTGCAATGCATTGATCGTAGTTGGGATCCTTGCGGCCACAGACATGAAAGTAGGAAGCTATAAAATATATAAATCATTTTCTATAACTTACAATTTTAAATTAAACTGCTTATACGAAAGATTTATACGTTGATAATAGATTTAGAATTTTAAAGAAAGCGTCTTTTGAATTTTATAAGTTTTAAAGTTTTAGCAAGTTATAAATTTAGTAATATATTTTAAAATACTTTCATTTGAGTTTCCTTAAAATATATTTAGGATAACTCCAACAAATACGCCGTACTAGGATTTACGCCATCAGAAAAAATAGAAGGAATGGAGGTAATTTTTCCAACTGTTCTCTGTTACATGCCTTTATGTTATATTAGTATTGTGTTATGATTTCAGCTTCTTACTGTAATAAATAACGCCATTATAAATTATAATCTACAAAATCTATAAAATCATTACTGTAGGGCGTGTAAAAGACTTAGTGGTTATTTCGTGATACATATATGTAGTGGAATAGTAAAACATATTGTATAACAAAATACAAGTGCTTTGCTTTCGTATTCTTTGTTTAGTTTGTTGTCTTGTATATCCCACCTGTTTGAGATATACAACATTTTTAGCGAGCAGGATTTATGCCCAAAGCATACACAAAGTGCGCAGATTGAATTCAGTGTATTAAACGCATTATATAAAATATGTACTTCTGTCATAGCACTTGTAGTATATGTAGGAAGATTATAATTATTATTTATATTATTTCATATACATATTTACTATTCTTATTCTTTAATAAAAGTTTATAAATACATTTTATAAAGTTACTGTATTATTTTACGTCTTATTTATATGCATTATTTGTAAATTCCTCCCCCCCCCCCCCCCCCCCCTGAGTAGCCATATATCTTACCCCTGTGGGATATACGGCAAAAATGCAAGGGTTTCAAAAAGTTTATTTTTTAATATGAAAAATAAATATTTTGGATTTCTAATATTTTTTTCATAGTAGACAATACAAAGTTTTTACTGATATAGTTCGTTCACTTTAAATAGTACTTTAAATAATACTTAATAAATTAAATTTTTGATAGCGTATATACCAGAGTTACCCTATGGAAAAATATGACGCTTTCGAAGATTTTAAACTAATTCATACCACTGTTAAAAATATTATGAAATTAAAATTACACTACTACTTTTAAATTACACAAATTGAATTTATATTTAATTTTATAACATTACATTAAATTTAACATATCTATAATTAAAAATATATTTGTATACATGTACATAAAATTTAATGCATTTTTCATAAAATTTTACGAAATTTAATGTACTTCTAAAAATTTATGTAAATTTACATGTAATTTAATGCACATGTTTATTACATTTAAGATTGATGTAATTTAATTTTCAGTTAAACAGTTAAATCATTCATAATTTTTCAGCTACTTCATGATCACAAGTTTCCATTACGTGTTACTTATTCATTACAACATTTCTAACAGTATACATAAGTGACAAAAATAAATGTAAATACAAAAAGCAACATAGAAGAGATTGCAAATTTATAATGGAAACAAAAGAGAGAGATATTTCTTGTTTACTTACGTAGTTCCGCTGTAATACATGTTGTTGTAACTACAAAAACAAAGACTTTCCAAATATCGGAAAACATTTTCCAAATATCAAAAAAATTAAGAAATGTCAATTTTTTTAAGATTTACTTATTAAAGAATAATTTTATGGCAACACATTAAGACTGATCTACACTAATCTATGTGAACTGATGAAACTTATCTGAAGACACGACAGTATCTCGGCGCTATATATATGCTATAGATGAAGGTGACTCAAGTCAAGATGACTTGAGAGATAATATATTTTTTGTAATTAAATTCGAATGTGATATCGATCTAAAAGTCACTGAAATGTTTAAAAAATTACTTTACATATTTAGAATTAATTATTAATAAAAATTAATTATAAATTAGGATTATTTTTTATGTCGTCATTAATTACGGTTTAATAATAGCGATAAAAAATTCAGAAAAACGACAATTTGACAAATTGAGTTTTTTAAATAAGAGACTTTAGCTTAACTCGGTAAAATTCTCAGTTGTTCATGTATGAATATATATATATATATATATATATAAACATTTGTTACAAATATATATACATAATCATGTACAAATATTTATAAATATATATAATTATATATAAAATATGTCCATACAATTTATATATCCTTCTTTCATTTGTAAAATTATTTTTAGTGTACTAAAAATAATAATAATAATGAAAAAAATATTTAAAATGATTAAAAAGATAATTTTTGCTTTGTTTGTCTTCGAAAAAAACCAAGTTTGTAAAAATGTAAATGAATTGCTCATATATAATTACATACAAAATTATAAACAATAAAATAAAAACAAGATAATCAATAGGCTCTAAAGATAAATCTAAAAAATAATAAATAAAATGCCAATTTGAGCCAACACTGGTTATTCGTGTGTATTTTATACCATTTATTCAAAGTGAATATTATAACGTATACATTTCGACCTACGGTTAAAGTCCTCTTTAGTATAAAGAAATTTACTTAAATTATTAATTACAGAATTATATAATGATTAACAATCCAAGAAGAAATCAATAATAAAAAATTTTTCTTTATACCATTTATTCCTAATATTTCTAATAAAATCTAATTTCTTAAAACATGTATCTTTTATACGTATGGCTTATAGAGGCATAAATAAGCTCAATAAATTTATCAAAGTCCAGAAAGATGTGTTACCTCAATCTTCTCAATGTAATATATAAGATTTACTGTAAGGACTGTGATGCGTCATATGTTGGACAAACAAGCAGATGCCTTAAAACGTGCATAAGTGAACGTGCATACCCAAGCAGAACAACAAATCACTATGATATCAAAATAATGTCAAAATGACTCCAAAATCATTAAAAATCATTTTTCAATCATTTTAATGTCATTTTAATGTCATTTTGACGTTATCGTGACTTGTTGTTCTGCTTGGATAGGAATCATATTAACAGAAACACGATTCAATTCGGTTATCACACAACATAGGACTTATTTCATGAATTTGATTGGGATAACGTACAAATTTTAGACAAATAGCAAATTTTACAAAGATTGTTATCAGGCATGATATATATTAAAAAACAAAAACTAGGCTTGAATTTACAAAACGATACATTTTCTCTTGATCCGTTATATATAGATCTATTTTTAGAGACGTAATGCTTCCAATCTGTATTTATCCTTGGTTATTTATTATTTATTATTTATACTTATTGCCTTGTAAGTACATTGTCCTCATTGTTTCTCTTAATTTTCATTTTACATTCGTCTATCAAATAGTTACTTCATGTCTAATAATTCTTAATTTTGTTTTATGTAAGTGAACTAAAGTTTGATTTTTAACTATTATTTATATTAACTTTTTAATTTATTCATAATTGTACACAGTAAATGGAACAGTCTAATAACATGTACAATAAATCTTATAGAAACAGTTCAATCTTGACAGTTATGTAAATTCATTTTATCATATTTTTTGCGGATAATTTCATATTAGCAATTTAAAATATATTTTTTAACTTTTTTTGATCGGCCAAAACAAAAAAATCTCTTTCTTTTTCAGTAAACTTAGTAAAATTTTCAATCCATCTGAATCCGTATTTAAATCCATAAAAATAAATTAGATTTCATATAAAAAAAAATGTTTATGCATGTGAAATTTTAAATAAATTAACGTAGTAATTACATGGAATTCTGCAATCATTATTTTAAAACTTTTATACAAAAAATGTACGCTAGCTGTATAATAAAGGAAACGTATTAGTATAAAATATACATAAAATTAATTAATTTATATATTTATATAAATATATATTTTATATATATATATATATACAAATATATAAATTATTTATATATTTATATATTATTAATTAATTAATAAGGAATTTACATATGTAACATTTATTGTACATATTTTCGTAGTTCTCTTTATGTTTCTTTTAAATGTTTCTTTTAAATTAAATTAAATAGAATTCGTGATATATTTTTACAATACAACTTTTTTTTAACTCAATTGAATTAAAACGAAAAACTTTTTATTCATAATTCTGAATAAAATAGCATTCATGATACATTTTTAAATGAAACAATGGATTTTCTACTCACAATTTTTAAGAAAATGGATCATAATTATTAAAAGAAAAACTTTTTTTTATTCAATTGGATTAAAAAACTGCATTTCCTATTCAGAATTTTGAATTTAGCAGTATTCACAATGTATAGAAATGTTTGATATTATTTTTAGATTCAACTGGATTAAAAAACTACATTTCTTATTCAGAATTTTTTGCAGTATTCATAATACATCTAATGGCCGATATTATTTTTAGATTCAACTGGATTGAAAAATTGCATTTCCTATTCAAATTTTAAATTAAGCAGTATTCACAATACATATATAAAAATGCTATAATATTATTTTTAAATTGAAAAGCATAGAAATATACTCCATATCATTCCTATAAATAAATAAAAATGCATTCAAGATTGAAAAGGATTCATTTTAACATTCATAAATCCGTATTTCTGAAAATCTGAACCCATTTTAATCCATTTCAATCCATTCTCGTTTGTTGGGTTCGTCATGACGTGTCATTTAAAATTAAACAATACAAAGACATAGAAAATGGACTGCGCAATCCCTATCTAAGTAGTATTCAAATGTGGTCGACAATAATGAGAGAAAAGGATCATGGAAGACGGCCAATCTCCTCTCATTCTCTCTCCCATTACGCCATTGAATGGAAAGAGATGATCGTCTTCCACGGTTCTTCTCTCTTACTTTTATCGACCATTTTGACACATAGATCTTGCAATTCTCTATGTCTTTGTTACAACAAGGGAATTAACAAACAAATATTGAAAATAAATACAACTAAAAGTATCAACCAATATTTATAATAAAGTTCGGAAGTCAATTTTGTTTAAACAATCAATTTTGTCAACAACCAATAAGAAGACATACGAATGGTGCCAGTACTCCGTGTCCATTTTTTAATTAAGTCCATTTTTTTGCATATAGATGTGAGACATTTCGAAATTTAATCGTTTTTTTTTATTTTATTGAGAAATCTCTGTATTAAAAGAATGTTGACATTCTCCTAATGGAATTCATGATTAAAATTAAGTCGATGTTTTCACTGAGTGATTTCTATTACTACTGTTAATGTTGTTTCAATGCTCAGATATTCTAGTAATTTTCAACTATTTCACTTTATTAACTAATAAAATAATGATCTGTTTAGCTAATTAAACAAACTCATAATTCATCTATTTATGGCTTGTTTCTATATCAAATCAAAAACGAATTCTATAACGAATGCAAAAATAAGATTCTTTTTTTGTATAATAAATTGCGTAGTTTATATAATAGTGATTATATTATTGATAATATTACATCATTTTAAATGTTTATAATTTCCTAAATCTTTAATAGTTTTATTTATATTATTTGTTCTTTTAATTTTTTTCATAATACAATTTTAAATTTTAAATTGGGGTACAGCGTAAATCGCCATACTTGTCTATAAAATAGATCATGAGCTAACTTTATAATGTTGCTTTATAATGTCAAATAGCTTTATTGGAGCTGAAAACAATCGTGCATATATGGAAAAACTTTTGAAAAATGCATATCACGTTACATATTTGCATCTTGCAGAACAACGTAATATGCATATAATTCAATAAAAATGTTTTATAACAAAGTGAAAAGATTCTGGAATACAATTAATACTACAAATTTAAAATGCCTCTTACGGTCGAACCTGGATCTTCATTACTTTAAATAATTCAATCTTGAATTACTAATATACACTATACGGGTGTCTGATAATTTTTCTGACGGAATTCGTGGATATGTAGAGCAGACTAAACTGAGACGGAAAGACCTCTAACATTTTACAATTTTCGAAATAGCTAACGAGATATTAATCTCTAAAGATTATGCGCGTCCGCTCGACCTACTAATACGCCAGGCGTACACCCAGCTAGCTCGACATGCGGGCCGCGGGGAGTGGGAACGACTTGGCAAGCGTGTCGTTCGAACCATCCGCGCAACTATTCTGTTATATGCCTTTATGTTATATTAGTATTGTGTTATAATTTCAGTTTCTTACTGTTAATATTAATGAAATTATTGTGAGTTGAATCGATTTATCACTGTGTTAAGTAGCGCCATCATAAATTATAATCTACATAAAATGATTACTGTAGTGCAAAAGACTTAGTGATTATTTCTGATACATGTAGAGGGATAGTAAAGTATGTTGTATAACAAAATATAAATACTTTTCTCTTGTATTCTTTGTTTGTTATTTTGTATATCTATCCTGTTTGGGATATATAACATTTTTAACAAGATTTATACTCAAAACATACAAAGTGCGCAGATTGAATTCAATGCACTAAATACAATAAACGCATTACATGAAATATGTACCTCATGTTATAACATTTGTAATACATCTGGGAAGATTGTAATTATTATTTATTACTTTATATACATATTTATCATTTTTTCTTATTTCTTAATAAAACTTTACAAACGCATTTTATAAGTTATTGTGTCATTTTACATCTTATTTATATGCATTATTTGTAAATTTGTTATGAGCTATACATACCTCCCCTCCCCCTATGAGTAGCCATATATCCCATCCCTAT